GCCTCAAAGGAATTACATTATACACCAATTTCTGGGCCTTGCCCCATGAGAACACGTCCTTATACTCTCCTACTGGTTGAATCCTGAGCCCTTCTTACCCATACTTTCTCTCAGTGTGGCTGCTTACCCACACTTCCTCTCAGATGTTGTTTGTGCCAATGAACAGGGGTCCTCATGGAAGAGCACATAGAGGGACCAGTCCTAGGACTATTGGCTTGAGGGTCTGTGTGAAGGAGCGATATCACTGCGGGCCTCGACTCCCATGCTTTGAGTGCCTGGGGTCATCAGAGTCATGTGTAGTTAGAGACAGTGACAGATCCCAGGCCCGTTACCATGTGGCACCAACAGACAAGAAGGCAGGAAGCAGGGAAGCAAGTGTGCTTCTCCCACAGTTCTCTGCCACTCTCAGCACACTCTCCACTCCCTTCATTACTCATCTGCCAAGACTTTTTAGTCACTTTACTTCATTAACCTTTGTTTGCTTGGACAAACCTGAATTCTTAGCCCTTCCATGACCCTAGGGGCAGAAGAATAGAAGAGAAATAATTCAGAGTCTGCTGGATCCATCTGTTACCATTCAGTCATTTGCCTCCTTTCTGGGATTTTCATTTTGGTTTGCACAATTTTTCTGCTGTTATCTGCATTTATTCCTTTTGGGTTTAATTTGACTTTTATTTATTTATTTATTTATTTATTTATTTATTTTTGCTTCACTTTAGTTTTACCATAAACATATGTCCTTAGGTGCTTTATTAGTACTGATAAAAATTGTAAGTACCTCTTTACCAAGCGACAAAGGTGCAATTTTAATGTTTATCCAAGTGTATCACAGCACAAAATTTGTTATTGTCTCTCATAATCCACTCTATTTCCAAGAGATGAGCTACAGGATGATCTATTGTAAACTCATTTGTGCACAGGACAGCACGCATCCTGCCTTCACCGCAGCACTTTCCAGCCCTCACTTCCTCCTTGTCTGTTTCATTCATCACTTCATGTTTTGGTCCCAGCACAGGCTAGAAAGGCTAGGTTACAGGGCCCACGTTCCCTTATCTGTACGTGCTGAAGTGTTCAGAGGGGTGAGAGGAGAAGGCTGGGCCAAGAAAAAACTTCACCATAAAGATCACCCTGAACTCTATTCAGGATCACTTTGGACCCCTCCTAGGCTGGTGCTGGCCTGAGGATGAAATGGAGGAGTTGTCCTGTGAGTCTCCAAACCCTCACCTGTTCCTCCTCCAGAGCAGGCACAACACTTAGCACTTTGACTCTGTCCTGAGCCAAACAAAATAAATTCTACTCTGAATTGAACCAGTGCTCATGAATCTTTCAAATTCTAACAATTATATTCTCCAAGCTTAACCGGTGAATAAACAGCTGTTGCAGCCTCATTGTTTTGGAATATTTCTTGAAGAAATATCACTTGAAAGTATCACTTAAAATTAGAATTAGGGGACTCATTTCTGAGCTGTGAAAGACCACAAATAACTATTTGGAAATATAAGGAGACACCAGCATTTCTCCTATCCTCTGCAAGTATAATGCATCTGCATTGATTGGAAAGCCAAGGACCCCAGATAAACAATGCAATCTGGAAGGCAAGGGAGCTGTCATCTAAGCCCCATTTAGCAATAGTTCATTCTACTCCACTGAAGAACAACAAAAATGGAACACTAAATTATACAAATTCCATGCACTCAGCAGGAAGGAAGATGAGGGGAGCTAGCAAAGTAACCAACATTGAATCTAAAACTACTGACAGGGTTTCCATTTTCAGACAGGATTGTGAGGGGCCCTGCAGGTGGAACAACCATATATGGTGAATTTCAACTAAAGTCTCTGAAATTGCCCTAAGGTAATATAGCAAATGAAGAAATGCTCATTTTGTACAATGTACCAAATTTTTGTAATAAGAGTGAGAATCTTAACTACCTTCTTTGCAGGCCTGGTCCCTCCCAACTGCCCTCCCCTGCAAGCCTGGTCCACCCCTCCAACCGCTTTCCCCTACAGGCCTGGTGGGAGAGATATACAGAGATGGCTAGAGTAAGCCCTGAATGACAGTTTTCATCCTCTCCCTGTTCTCCCATTTTTAATACTGAAAATGCCTTCATTTCCTTTGAGAACCAGAAGACTTTGCAGGTGATTCCTGGCAACAGGACCACCTAGGTGTCACTGTCCCAAAGAAGGAGGCTCCCAAGAGGCCATTTTGTAGGAAAATAGTAAAAACAAAAGGAGTTAAGATTTGTCATCAAGGTTAGAAGTGAAAATAGGCTCCAGAAGCCTAATATTCTCTTCTCTGAGGTTATAGCCCCTTAGGGGACAAGTGCTAGTGTCACAGAGAGCTTCTGAGAACATCACTACAGTCCAAAGCTGTGTTTCTCAGTGGAAACTGCCCATCCCTCTGCCTCAGTGGTGAATGTTCCTGTCTCTTTAAGTTGGGCCCTTGGGCCCCCTCTCCCTGAGCTTCCTGCCTCTGAGTTCTGAGAATCAGGACACTTCCCCATGAGCTGGGAGGAAGAGCCTGCTGCACTCACAACCAGAGGACAGAAGTAAGTCAGGGCCTTCTGGGTCAGCCTTGGAGCCTGTCACTGGTTCTGCAGGAAAGCTAAATGCCAGCAGGGGAAGAGAGCAGGCCAGCGAGCAGGATCTTTGAGGACCTGGAAGAATGCAGTGCCTGCAAGAAGCTCACTGAGTGAGCACCTCTATTCTAGTAGATATCAGGAAGGGGCATGTGATCTAGAAAGAGTAACTCCACACTCTCAGGTGTGTAAGGATGCCTGACTTTCACACACAGAAGCTTCAGGAGCAGTGGCAAGCATCTCCTCCAGCCTAGAGGCACAGGCTCTCGCTTGGGCTAAGCCCTCTCCTAACCTACTCCCTAACAAGGAAGGAAGGGGTCTGCTCACTCTCCTGTGAGAATCAAAACAAGCTTTAGAAGGCAGCAAAGATGCCCCATGTGCATATCAAGCAAGGCAAGGGATTTCTGAGGATATATAACTGAATCTAAACTCAGAACACATTAAGTTAAAAAAATCCTTTGTGTATCTGGACTGAATCACCTAATGCACTTCACTCTTCTCCAAGTGTCCAGAAAGCAACTTGCCAGAGACTGCAAAGGTCATGACCATTGTCTTCCATCACTTGCCCTAAAACACTTGCTCCACAACACAAGCTGCTCAGGACTGTGTAGTTGGCTGTGCCCTCTGAACTCCCTCCCCTCCTCTGCATGATGAGGGGCTGGACTAGGAATTCTGATTCAGACACTGAGATCAGGCACTGAGTGCATCACAGTCATTGGCCTGGGTGTGGGGGCGCTCATATTATGAAAGTACAGGTATGTGAAGCAAAATCTTTGAGAAATACACATTTGACAGAATCCCCTAGCTAATTCACAGAGAAAGGAGGTTCAGGAAGCCCTGGATTAGGTGAATAGACTCAGTCCCTTGGAGGTTTAACATATAAGATCTCTGAAAGAAAAGAGCCACATGCTAACCTGACAAGCTCAGGGAAGGCCTGCGTGGCAGTCTTGCAACCCCAGAGACCTAAGATAACCACAAAAGATGGTTTGAAAATTAAATATCTAACAGGGTATAGTAGGTAATCATGTCCTAGATATTTCACCTCTCAAAGATCAACTTTGATCTTTTACTGAGCCTCTCTGATTTCCTGCATCTAAAATAACATATATGTGAGATGTCTGGGTAACTTGTAACTTCTTTTTTACCCGGGACCCCTCAGGGAACAACAAATGGCCTAGAGACATTCCTCATTGTTATTGTTATCAAGTTAATTGTCAACTGTTAATTACGTTATAGTAACCTGTATCCATCTCTGTGAAAGAAGCTCATGTCCATCATTTTACCTTTTACCCTATCCCAGAGATTTCCCCCGCTTAACTTTGTCCCACCTGCCTAATCTATCACCAATGAATTTCATCTAACTCACCAAGTCCCTTTCCTTTGATTGCAATGTGTAAATATAGAAATGTAACCCGCCATTCTCCGGAGCATTATCTCAATCTGTTGAGGTTCTGTTTCCTGGCATGTGTCAACAGTAAGGCTCACATAAACTCACAAAAAAATTCTTTACAGGTTTCAATGTTTTTTTTTCGTTAACACCATTTAAATGACAAAGTGTGCTGGTGTGGGCTTATTTATCTTTATGTTTGGAAGTCTCTGTGCTTCCTGGACTGGTGTATCTATTTATTTCACCAGCTTAGGAGAGTTTTCAGTCATTTAATTTTCAAACAGGCTTTCAATCTCATACTCTCTTTTTTTCTTCTGGTACCTCTATGATGCAAAGGTTGTTATGCTTCATGCTGTCCCAGAAGTCCTTTAAACTATCCTCACTTTTGTTGTTGTTGTTAATCCTCATTCAAGGATATTTTTTTCATTGATTTTTTTAAGAGAAAGGTTTGTTGGAGAGATAGAATAGAAATAGAGGTAGATAGATAAAGAGAGAGATAAAGAGGAAGAGGGAGAGAGAAACATTTATGTAAAACAGACACATCAATAGGTTACCTCTCAAACATGGCCCCCACAGGGGCTGGATATTGTACCTACAACCCTTCTATGTGTGGGCCAGGACTTTAACCACTGAGGAAAACCAGCCAGTCGTCCTCACTTTTAAAGATTATTTTTTTCTTTTTTCTTTTTTTTTAAAATTTTTTTTAATATATTTTTATTGATTTTGTACAGAGAGGAAGGGAGAGCGATAGAGAGTTAGAAACATCGATGAGAGAGAGTCATCGATCAGCTGCCTCTTGCACACCCCCTACTGGGGATATGCCCGCAACCAAGTTACATGCCCTTGACCGGAATCGAACCCGGGACCCTTCAGTCCCCAAGCCGATGCTCTATCCATTGAGCCAAACCGGTCTCGGCTAAAGATTATTTTTTTCTTTTTGCTGCTCTGACTGGTGTTTTCTATTTGCTGCTCTGAAAGGTGGGCAGGTCTTACATGCTCATACAGCTCCTCCCCTTACTTTTTCTTTCCTCTTTCCCTTCAATATCCTTGCTTAGCATTGCCTTCAAAGTAAGAGAAGAGAGCAGAACCCAGATTTTCCAGGTAAAAGAATATTGGCGTTCAGTGTGTGTGTTGCGGGGAGAGGCAGGAAATGTGGGATTTGGTTCTGAGGGGACCTCTCCCCTGCATTTATTTCTGAAACCTCCGGCATACTGTCTCTCCTCATAGGTTACTCATTGCTTTTTGTTTCCTGTCTCTGCTGATTTTAGGCTATAATCCGTTTTAAAGGCTGAGCCCCACAAATTAGTACCTTTTTTTAGGAATTGCTTCTCAGAGGATGTTTGTACAAATAATTCACTTCACCATTTATAGAATTTACAAATAAACTAGAAGCTTTCAGGAATAGAGTTGGGCAAGCAGACAGAATTAGCTCTGAGAGCCCAATTAGCTCTTAGGAAAGGTGGGTGAAGAGCACTGGGAAGTATAAGAAGCGTAGCTCAGCATGCTAGCCCTCAGAGTACCCATCACCAACATTAACTTTGTGGCAAAAGCTTATTTGTAAACATTCTGTGATATCCCTTCCCAGTTTGTAAGAGGCTGTTTTCTATTCCCTATCTTTAAGGGATAAATACATAACTCTTCTTTCAAAAGGAGCATCTGTCTTTCTAACAGTGTTTCAAGTTCATAGTTGCGGGCTTCCTGTGAGATGAGCCTGTCAGCCTGTTCCAGTCAAAGACCACACTAATATGACTTATACGCACAGCTTTCTCTATTGCAAACGTTTATAGGTAACAAGGAGACAAAATATTTAAAATGCAACCCTATGTTTCTATTATACTAAGCATTGTTGCATAAGAAAAGAATAATCTTTTTCACTGAACAAACAAGATCAGAGAGGAAGCAAAAATCAGAGAAACATTTTTACCAAGTAAATTTATAAAACACTTATTGCCAAGACCGGTTTGGCTCAATGGATAGAGCGTTGGCCTGTGGACTCAAGGGTCCCGGGTTTGATTTCGGTCAAAGGCATGTACCTGGGTTGCAGCCACATCCCCAGTGGAGGGTATGCAGGAGGCAGCTGATCAATGTTTCTCTCTCATTGATGCTTCTAACTTTCTATCCCTCTCCCTTCCTCTCTGTAAAAAAGCAATAATATATATATATTTTTTAAAAAATTGTAAAATACTTATAGAAAACCATTCTTCCTTAATTACTGTGCTTGTCCCCAGATAATAAGGGCAATACAAGACACAGATGGTCCAACCATCATCTCAAAGCTTACACCAAAAGGGGCAATGTAAAAAGAGCAGACAAACAATGTCCTGTAATGATATGTGTTCTGCAGGAACCTCTGGGAATATGATTGTAGCAAATAGTACAACTGTATTGTTGGCAGGTGATGCTATTTGGGGGAAAGGTATTGGAAAAAAATGTTTTAGTTTAAAAAGGCATCTAATCATAGAAGAAAAAAGATTGATGATGAGATAATAGGTTAGGAGCCCTTTACATGGCAAACAAATGATAAAGATGAAGGTGGGGAGAAAGAATAATTTTGCATGTTTTGCAGGTAGAATTTATGGGACTTGATGGTGGACTGATGAGCAAGTGAGGAACTGTAACTAGCCCCAAAGCCCCCCTGAAGCCACAGGTTGAATGGTGATGAAATCTACTGAAATGGGGGCAGAATAATTTACGTGATCTGGAGACAGGATAGGTTGGGAATTTGGGAGGTCAAGGGTTACATTTTGGCCAAGTTCTGTGTGAGATATCTATCAAGTTGGCCAATGAAAAAAATTAAATGGGATATAAAGGTTCAGAACTCTGAGGAAGGTCTAATCCACAGAGTATGGATAAATAGAATTCAAAGTAATAATTACTGAGTAGTAGGGGAAGAAGGTCCAGAACCGGAGCTGATGAAGCACTTGAAATATGTTTGTGTAAAGAAAAAGCAACAAGTGAAAATGAAACTGACAATAGGAGTTGAGGAGAAGTGTTGGGAACCAGGGAAGGTGAAATCAAGTAGCAAGCTATGGAAAAGAAAAAACTACTGGTTGTACTTGGTTTGGGTTTGCAGTTACTCCCAATTTCCCTAAAATGAATTATGTTTCTTATCTACAGGAATACTAACTACGATGGCGACTCAATTGCACAGTATGCCTTCCAACTTCAGTGAACCCAGGACCAGCCATGGTGAGAGGGTGCTCGGGCTCCCCAGGCATGTGGAATGGAGGGAACCTAGCAGTGGGTTCTCCTGTGCTCTCAGCCATACCCATCTGACCAAGAACAATATATTTCCAACCCCATTTCATATTTTCTTTTTATTTACTCTTCTCTTTCTTTTCTCTAGCCCCTCTGCACTGTCACCTCATGATACAGCATAATCTCTAGAGGAAAAGAGGTTAAAGTGTCCTGATTGATCCCAGACTGATAAGGTTAATGTGAACACACCAGTAGGGCCCATTGTAGCATCTCTGGTTGTTTCTCTTCACCTCTCTTCAGCCTGAGAGAGGACTGGAAAGAAGAATATGAGAAGAACTGATTCTTCATTCAGTTCTCAAAATTCCCTGTTTTTAATGTAACTCACAAATTAACCAGTGTAACTCACAAATTAACCAGACTGGCTCACTTAGTTTCTCATTTAACCTTGCTTTATCTATAGAAATTGACTTTATTAGTTGAACTATATCAGTTTTTCAAACCACACCACAATTTAGCAGCCTAAAACATCACCCATTCCTATGGCTTTCAACTTTATAGTTTTATATTTCACTGGTTAGTCCTTGGTTCTGAGTCAACTGGGTTTATTTCAGACAGATTTGTTCATGTACCAGTGGTAAGCTGGTGGTTCAGTACACAACTGGGTAGCCTCTTTTTCTTTTTTTCATTCAATTTATTGGGGTAACATTGGTTAATATTATATGTTTCACGTATGTAGTGCTAGGATATGTCATATGTATATCGCATTGTGCACTCTCCATCCAAATCCTCCTGTCCTTCCTGCACCACTTATTTGACACCCGTTATCATCTACACAAACTTCCCCCACCCCTCTTTCCCTCTGGTAACAACAATACTATTGCTATGCCTATGCTATTTTTTTTTATTAATTTGCTTGTGCCTTGTTATGTTATGTCTCATATATGAATGAAATCATGTGAATCTTGTCTTTTTGTCAACTGGCTTATTTAACTTAACACGGTATTCTCAAGATCCTGAAACTGGATAATTTTGCATTGGATATCCCCATGGTCATTTCTGGTAGTTAGCAGGCTCTTGGGCAGGCCAGGGTGATGAATAACTGGACTGTGTGTCTCACATCATCAAGCAGGCTAGTCTAGGCTCCCTTACAAAGCAGTTACAGGGTTTTGAAGACTAAAAGAGACAGCAAGCCACAGCACATCAGCACTTTTGGAGTCTACATGCATCATGCTTTCCCTGTTTTATTGTCCAGAGCAAGTCACTCCCCCCAACCATCCCCTATGCAAGGGGTGGTGAAACAGATTCAGCAACTTGTGTTAGGGGCTTCAGATCAAAATCTCAAAAAGGCATGTGTACAGAGATGGGAATAATTCATGGTCATATCTACAATGCATCTCACTAATTGTCATATACTCTTGGTGCCTTCTGGTTTCACTTCCTATGATTTTCCTACTTCTCTATGGATGACCAACTAATGGCCTCAGGATATCCTTAGGTTGGAGTCTTTCACTGTGGTGCTAACTAAATGATAATCTGAACTCCCATCCACATTTTCCATTAATCTTAGCCATCCTGTAGCCAGTGTTCTCTTTTTCTGGAAACTTACTTCTCTCATTACAGAATTCTGGTTATCTAATGTGGGAAACTGTCTTAGGGATAGTTTTGATAATTCCTGACTTAGCAACAGCTTCATCATAAAGTGTGTGGAGATGGGGAATAACTACTGATTTTGTGGAAGCCAGAGTGGGGGGTTCTGCAAACTCTCTCCTCTGTTTAGTTGATATTTAAAAAAATCATTCCACAGAAGATGGCACAATGGAAATATAGAGACCAGTTAGGGGACTGCTGAGTCATGCATGGTGATGGTAGCTTGGGCTAATATGATACTATTTAATATGGAGAGAAGCAGCCAAAGATAATCTACCCAGCAAAGCTAGCACTCAGAATTGAAGGTCAGATAAAGAGCTTCACTAATAAAAAAATAAAAAATAAAAATAAAAAAAAAGCTAAAGGAGTTCATCACCACCAAACCAGAATTATATGAATTGCTGAAGGGGGTTCTTTCGGAAGAGAAAGTAAATAAAGATAAAAAATATGAACAACAAATATGTAACTATCAAGAAGTGAATCTAAAAACCAAGGAAATTAAAAAAAAATCTGATGAACAATATTAACTGTTGAATATAATAGAATCAGAGGTATGGAAGGGGAGTGAACTGATGATTCTTGGGGAAAAGGGGAGAGAGGGATGTGGGAAGAGACTGAACATAAACTGTGCACCTATGGATGAGGACAATGGAGGTTGGGGAAAGGGCAGAGGGTGGGGTGGGAACCTGGTGGAGGAGACCAATGGGGGGGGGGGGGGAGGAACATTTGTAATAATATGAACAATAAAATTTTATTTAAAAAAAAGAAATGTAATTGTGAACTAAAAAATAAAATAAAAATAAATGGAGAGAAGCAGTCATATTTGTGGATGGAGTCTTGCGATCTTTCAATTGCTTGGATGTGGAAAGTAAGGGGAAGAGAGGAATCAACAGATATTCCAAGATTTTTGGTCTGAGGTACTTGGTGAATGGTGATGATACCTCTGAAAAATAATCATGTCTGCAATATTGGCAGGGATGGATGTAATACAGGATTCCTTCTACAGGAATTGATCTTTTAAGGGCTGTACTGACAGGGATTTCCTTCAGAGGAAAAAAGGATCTCAGATGTGGTTGTCAGTTATTTTCCATGGTCCCAGGCTGTGCTCAACAAATCCTGAGGACTTCAACTTTACAGACACATTAAAGAGATGAGCAGAGAATATCTGAATTGAAGTAGGGAAAGAGCTATGTAGATTATTTGGTATTTAAGTTAAGACATAGTTATTTTTAAAACAACTTTCACTTATAAGCTATGTATACTGTTCTGTTACCAATTTTAAGTGTCCTAAGAAGTATATATGCCTACCCAAGTGACATTAAATATATAATTCTAGCTGAAACCGGTTTGGCTCAGTGGACAGAGCATCGGTCTGCAGACTGAAAGGTCCCAAGTTCGATTCTGGTCAAGAGCATGTACATTGGTTGCAGGCACATCCCCAGTGGGGGGTGTGCAGGAGGCAGCTGGTTGATGATTCTCTCTCATCAACGTTTCTAACTCTCTATCCCTCTCCCTTCCTCTATGTAAAAAATCAGTAAAAAATAAAAGAAAAAAATATATAATTCTACTAATGCTACTCTGTATGAGTTACTATTATTATTGTATTATTTACGAATCAAGGGTTTTATAGTAACTTTAGAGCACTGTCAAAACTTTCTGGTTATATGTCTTCAACACATTAATTAAAAATAAAAAACTTTACTAGATTTCTACACTAAGGTGGTAACTTTGAAAGTAAGGTTTTTGTTCTTCTGTGGCTCAGAATCCCTGAGGAGATGGCTGCATATGTGAAATATGAAGGAACACATTGCCTTTCTGCCCATGGGTCCTTTTTTCTCTTTCAAGAGTGGGATGGCTTGAATCACCCACCTATCTGGCTTCTTAATGGGAAGATGCAAAGTTCCATTTTAGATATAAATCTGGGGAGAGGACCCTCCACTGTAATGTTCCAAAATCAGATTTTAGTTTACTTCCTAATTAGATTATGAGGGACAGCTAACAGCAGCAGATCAGAGATCTCACTTGAACCATTGTGTCCCTTTATCCATGGGCACTTAGCTTCCCAATGTCATAGTGAGCAGCCTAAGGGACTCCTGAGAAGTGCCCAGCATTCCTCTAGTTCTATAAAAGAGGTGAGGCCCACGGGTTCTACAGACCTTCTGTGAGATCTCGAAGGACTAGACTCTAACAGTCAATAGAGAAGAGCACAAATTGGCAGAGGCCCTTCAGGGGAAAATGTTGGAACTAAGTCTTAACACTGTACCTTTTGTTTCTGGATTTTTCAGGGCTTGGAAACCAAGACTCTAGAGATTCACAACTGCGACTTGTCTTAGTGGGTAAGACTGGGGCAGGAAAAAGTGCCACTGGGAACAGCATCCTTGGAAAGAAAGCATTTCATTCAGGCATTGCAGCAAAATCTATCACCAAGGTCTGTCAGAAAGGCAGCAGCACATGGAATGGGAGAGAAATTGTCGTTGTGGACGCACCAGATATTTCTGACACTGAGGAAACAGCTGTTCACACCCAAAGTGAGATTGCTAATTGCATCCTCCTGACTTCTCCTGGGCCTCACGCTGTGATCCTGGTGGTCCCGCTGGGCTCATACACAAAGGAAGAACAAAAGGCTGTGGAGAAGATGCTATCAATGTTTGGATCCAAAGCTAGGAGATACATGATTCTCTTATTCACCCAGAAAGATGAATTGGAAGGCATGGACATCCATGATTACTTAAAGGAAGCAACAAAAAGCCTTCAAGATCTGATGGAGCAGTTCAAGAATCGTCATTGTGAGTTTAACAATAAGGCAACAGGGGATGAACAGGAGGCTCAGAGGACACAGCTGCTGGACCTGGTCCAGTGCATAGTGATGGAGAACCAGGGAGGATTCTACACGAATAAGAAATACGAAAGGGCTGAGGTGGAGATTCAGAAACAGATTCAAACTATACAAGAACAATGCAGAGCTGATCTGGAGAGAGAAAAAAGGCAGTTAAGAGAGGAGTTTGAAGAGAAAATCAGGAAGCTAGAGGATAAATGGGAGCAGGAAAAGACAAAGGCAGAAATGGAGCGGGAACTGGAAAAAAGGGAGACTTCCTCTATTTTAAGGCAACAAAATGCCAGAGAAGAAGTTAAGAATCAGAAAGGGATACTTGACTTAATCTTGGGAAGATTGAGAGGAATTTGGAGAGACATCTCATCTCTGTTCAAGGAAGATTAGGCTAATGAAAATATGTCTATTGTTCCCAAGTATTTTGGGGTGCCCCTCCGCCATATAACTCATTCCCCCAAGTCAGAGCTCTGTTTCTGTATTCCAGGTTCTCAGAACTAGTGAGTGTAGTACTAGTAAGTTCATTGTTGGCAATTGGTAGACTTTTGCTTGATTTAAAAGAGGAGAGACACATTCTCAATTTCTAAAACTCCGAAGCAGAAAACATAAATGCTCCCTGTCTTCTAAACACTTCCCCAGACACTCAGAGAAAAGGAGTGCAGGAAACCAATAGATGATGACCCCAAGCTTTTGCTATATATTTGTAGTAACAATTTCTCATCTAGATTATTTCTAGATTAACATAAAATCTCTGGCCTGGATTTACTCCATATTTTCCCTTTAGGATGACAATGGTTATTTTACCCATGTGGTTAGGGAAGTCAATTACTGGCATCACATAATATATAGTTAGAGATGCTGATAGAATTCTTTCTATATGAACACACATTTGTTGAATTATGTTTTTATGAAATTATTCTTTATTATCTGTCCACTGAAGAACAAAGAGTTCTCTGGAAAATGGATCTCTCAGAATGCAACTAATTAAAATTCCAGAAAGAGCAAAGGTTAGAGATTCAACAGCTGAGAGAAGAATGATTAGACTATTAAGATGTTTCTGTAAAAACTCTTTAACCAACTTCAATGTAAGCACTTTGGTGAATAACTGGTTACTACTCTTCTCTGAAACTAACTGTTGTCACCAAACCTCCATTACCCCAACCTTGGTTCCTTACTTCTAGGTGGATCATTGGCATACTGCTATCTCTACCCACATGAATTACTTTGCTTATTGTTACTATTTACAATAAAACTTTTCAATTCTCTCATATTTGTGCAAAATTGGACTCTGTTTTACATTAGGAAACACCACTAAGAGCACATGGATGAATTTCACATTTTAGTAAAAGTTCATCCTTATTTCTGAACTTGGCTATGTGTTCCTCTAAGATCTCTCTACATCCCCCTCTAAGTTTCAACCATGTTCATAACCCCTATGCGCAGCAAATATCACATTGTTCTGGCATTCATTCATTACAAGCAACTTGGTGAAATTATGTGTAACCAACATTTGTGAGACATTTGTGGTTCTCTGGGTGGGGAACTCCTAAAGGATATGGATAACAATCATTGAAGTCTATCCTTTTTCTACTGGGCATTCCTACCCTAATAAGTTATAAGATTTCCCAAAATACATGTCCATGTCCTACCAGGATGTGGTTGGGGTTCACATGCCACTCACCTGCCTCCACCATCTTGAAATTGATATCTCCATGCTCTAACCATTTTGCCTGCAACATGACATATACCTCTCCCTTACTTCCCCCAAACAAAATGAGTTTAGCCTACATTTTAATAAAAGTTAGCCTGAAGAATAAGAGAAAAGGAAATAAGCTAATGAATCTTTCAGAAATAGGTGCTCATATATACAGCTTTGGACACTTTTGGTAATCAGTACTTCCCTAGGAAATTATCCACTTCCTCCAGATTTGCAAATTTATTTGAAATTTTTTTTTAATTTCTTCTATTTTAATGGTTATTTCCTCCTCCATTTTGAATCTTTTATTTTTGCCTTTTCTCTTTTTGCTTAAATAAGCTAGTTGGTAGTTTGCTTAATTTTTTTTTGAAAATAAGCTGCAGAATAGTTGTGTGTTTTTTTCCCCCCCAAAAAATTGCAGAATATGCTGTACATTGTCTATTGTTTCATCATTGGAGTTTTAGAGAAAATTTTGAAGTTGGAATTTTATATCCTATTGTATCTCAAGCTTCTAGAAGCACATCTTTAACAAAAAGGTACATATACTTCTCAAGAAAAATTAAATAGTTTTAATATGAAAACAGACTTTAACTTGCTCTGTGATTACTTTCTGTGTAAATGCACTCAATTATTCTTACCCTTGCATTCAGATTAATGCTGTAGATGAGACAAAGTAAAAGGTTCCGCTCTTGAGAAGCTGTGAAGATGTGAGGAGCCCATGCAGAAAACCCTCAGAGCAGTGTTGCCCATTTGTCTCATGGGGCTGAAGGCAGATAGAAGGACTTGATAAATACCATGCATTGTGATTAATACAATAGAAGAGTGAGGCATGTTCCCTTCCCTGAGGAGTGTTGGGAGTTTATACACTTCTTCCATTCATTAACAGTCAGTGATTTTTTTGAACTTGATGCAAGATTTTATATGAGGCACTGAGAATCTAGAGAAAATAAAGCAATATCCCTTTTGAGACTGGCTTCCTTCACTTAGCATAATGATTTTGAGAATCATTCAAGTTGCTTATGTCAATAGCTTTTCTCTTTTACCAAGTAGTATGCTGCCTTATGAACATATCAGTTTCCTTATAACTTCTACTTTATTTGTTCTTATGCCCTCAGTTTATTGCTTTAAACTAATTGTATTGGCTAAAACCTCTATTATGATGTTTAATAGTAAAAACTGGGCATACTTGCTTTGTCCCTGGTTATACCTTCAGTGTTTTCAGTTAAGTAAGTGAGATATTGGACTACAGGCATATCCTATATAATAAAAGAGTAATATGCAAATAGACTGCACCTCTGCTACACCCACCAACCACATCCATCAGCCAATCAGAAGTGAATATGCAAATAAACCCAACCAAGATGGCTGCAGGCCACACAGAGAAGAAGGGAGGCTTGAGTTTCCCCTGCAATGGAGGAAGCCAAGCTTTCCTCCTGCCCTTGCTGGCCTTGTCCACTGGAGAGGAGCCTGGCAACTGAAGCCAGATGGGGTCCCCTGAGAGCAACCAGAATGAGCTGGGGGTCCCTGCCCAAGGCCAAGCCTGGCCAGAGGCTTTTGGCCTTAGCAGGGGCGGAGCTGGAGGTTGGAGGAGATAGGTGTGAACACAGAGGAAACACCTTTTCTGACTGCTCATTGGCAAACTCTCTGTATGCCACTGGTAATATTCTTAGTAACTTGGGTATAAGAATCCAAACAGGTGATCTAGGGCTTTTCTCCACACTCCTGGGGGAAAAAACGAAGGTCTGCTACTGGAGGGATAAGAAATGTCATAACCAGCCCTAGGCTGTTTGGCTCAGTGAATAATGCCTAGGTTTGCCAAACGCAGGGTCCAGGTTAGATTCTGATCAAGGGCCTTTACCTAAGTTTCAGGCTCCTCTCTGGCTGGGGCCCAGGTCAGGGCTGCCTGCAGGAGGCAACCATCAAAGCATTCTCTCACTTTGATGTTTCTGTCTGTCTTTCCCTTTCTCTTCCATATTCTCTGAAAGTCAATGGAAACATATATGCAGGTAAGGAGAAAGAAAGACGAAGGAAGGAAGGAAGGAAGGAAGGAAGGAAGGAAGGAAGGAAGGAAGAGAGAGAGAGAGAGAGAGAGAGAGAGAGAGAGAGAGAGAGAGAGAGAGAGAGAGAGAGAAGGAAGGAAGGAAGGAAGGAAGGAAGGAAGGGAGGAAGGAGGGAGGGAGGGAGGGAGGGAGGGAGGGAGGGAGGGAGGGAGGAAGGAAGGAAGGAAGGAAGGAAGAAAGAAAGAAAGAAAGGTCATATCCTATGAAAGACACATCTTGAAAATGCCTAAAGAAAGTTGTCATTTTTCCATGGTGAAGGGACTGGAGTCCGTGTTGATGAAAACACGTTGGTGGCTATGGTGACTGCCAGTGGTTCCAGCAGTGGGGTGATGGGGCTGGTGCCTTTCCCTGAACAGCCAGGTTGCCTTCCACAAAGGTAGGCCAGACTGCGACTTAGGCTATCAGTAGGACATCCTCTGAGGGTTCCCAGTATGTAAGAGGGGGCAGGCTGAGCTGAGGAGACTCCCCCTCCCCCAGTGCATGAATTTGATCCACGGGCCTCCTAGTATGGTATATATTTGTGTGTATATGTTGTGTATCATACTAAGCAAGTATTTCACAATCCAATCAATATTTTCTTGAGAGTTTTTATTATGAAAAACAATTAATTTTGTCACAGGCTTTAAAAAATCATCTATATGAATAATCTTATTATTTCTCCTTAACTCTATTAATAAGTGAATGATATTCATTGATTTCCAAATATTGAAGCAGTTTTCCTTTTTTGTTTGAATTTTACTTGATTATGATGTATGACATTCTTCATGTAGTTTTGAGGTCTATTAGCTAATATTTTATTTAGTACTTTTTTATTGATATTCACGAGAAATATTGGTCTATATATTATTTTTTCCTACTGTCACTGTCCAGGTTAGATTATTAACATTATATTTGCTTTGAAAAGTTCATATGAAAATTTATCTTCATTGTCGATGCTGTGAAACACTTTAAAGAGCATTAACCTATCTGGTCATTGAAGGCATACCACCCCTTGCTGACTACACACCATTGCAATTATTTTTGAGCCCAGGCCCATCTCCCTCTGACAGACAGCAAAGATCTCTTGGCTCTGAAGGAAATTGTCATTCCTCTTCAGCAAGAAGCAGCTAAAGAGGGACCCTACACCCCTATTCTCTTAAAGAATTTAGAGCAAGATTCCTTGGGGCGGGGGAGGGATAAATGTAGTAGGCAGTTGGATAGTCTTGAACAGAGCAGGAATGATGGACATAGTGCAGAAAGTCCCCTAGGCAGAAAGCCCTGGGTGCCTATCAATGGGAAAACCACAAGCCCTTGCATGACCACTCTCTTAAGCACTAACCCCTGGATATGACACATAAGCCTAAGCTGTGTTTCAGCTCCAGGCCCAGCAAAGCACAAAACCGGACAAGTGAGCCATGCTGACATTAGGACCAGCTGCATTGACTAATGACCCTCTGCCCAGAGACAGATCTGTTCGTTGAGGCCATAACCCTGAGGTGATACATTTGAAAAGCTGATGAATATTCTATTGATATTCTCCCCTGAGATCTCAGGTAAAAGCTCTCAGTATGGAGGACCCAGCATGGTTCTCTCCATGGAGCACACTGTGCCTTTTCCCATATGCCTTTACAGTACAACTTGTATCCTAAGCCTATTTCTTCTAAGGCTCACTTCACTTCTACCTGTGGGTCACTATAAATGAACATTTTTCTTATAATCAAGTCTTAGCCAGAACTCAAGTAATGAAGTTGCTGAACTGGGGTCCAACACCTGGCACCATTTTCACCACTAACAATAAGGCATCCCAATCTAGTTCTCAAATTGTGCCTAAAGAAACATCAAAATTGGAGTAGTCCCTGGCTAATGACATCTAA